TAGTATAGCAAAGATAAACCATAGTACTCAAAGAGGGTGTACTTTCTTCTTCACACAACTGTATATATGCTCTCTCTTTGCAAAGTGGAGTAGGTCATTTGGCTTCTACTCCCTCTCTCATATATCTTCCTCATACTCTTTTTTGTAGAAGATGACCTTAGTGGTGCCTCATTGCTCCTGACCCTAATTCCTACCCAACCCAAATTATTCTGAAAAGTCAGGTCCCCAGTTGTAAATTGCTATATGAAGTATATAATTGAGCTGGATTTTTAATGTAGAAGATGACAAAAAGAGGAAATTATTTGGCTTGATAAAGTTAAGGAAGGCTAGAAGAGTTAATTAAAAGTTTATCTTTGCTATACTATCTTTGCTAACCTTTGGTTGATTATAGGTTAAGAATAAACAACTGGAATAGCATTTTGTGCAGGATGAAATTACTTTCATAAGATGTAATAATATATTACTTTTAATCAAATTCATGAAAAGAGAGGGTGCATAAAGGGAGCTTCTCTGTTCAGGGCCACTAATATAGTTTTTTGGATGAAAAGGGCTAAGATATGGTTTATATATTCCATGAGTATAATGCTGAGGAGTCTTTTAGAAAAGCAGCATGCTTGCATTCTTTGGATTAGAGTTTATGTGTTCTGATTTCAGAATTAATTTCTTAACCCCTGAAGCCTTGATTAGCATTCTACTAGAATTTTGTGTCGGAGGATTGTTCTTCTATAGCTGCTGTAGTCAGGAATTTTCATTAGTGGCTGCGTTCAGGGATAAGGGGACTTTTCAGAATCTGATGAGAACAGTAACCATAGTGACTAATTGCTTAACAGTAGAACGGGTAAAGAGATTTCTTTCTTTTTTCCAGAATAGCCCACCTTTTCTTCCTCTTGATTTCACTTTAAGCTTTGCATGAGTGTTATAAGAAGCAGTTGAGATCCTTCCCTCCTTATTTTAATTTCACTATTTCTTCATTTCTGATTGCCATCCTAATATCTTCTGGTATCTTTCATAACCATTGTCTACTTCAGAATGCATTAATAGTGAATCATGGATATACACATTAAGTAGCCAGCTGTTAGGAGATGCGGCCGTTGTCCCATGGAGTTCGAATTAAAAATCCAACATATGGAAATTAGGATTAAAGAGTTCTTTGATTGATTTCAGTAGGCTGAATTACCCAGAAGATTTTGACATATTATTATGAACTGTTTTCAGAACTATTTTACAAGACTTCTAAAATCTTCTGTCAAAGAAAATACATGCCTAATGCATTTTCTTTGAATTGTGGCCACTCTTTTATGTGTCCCCCAAGGCATGAGCCAAATGTCTGCTTTGATATGTTTAGCCCTGCTTCATCTATCTCCAAATATTTAACACATGCAATATTACAACGTCCAACGTTCAGTGAATATTTATTCATGAGGCAGTTTGGATTTTGTTTCCTTTTAAAATATTCAAGATATTTTAAATGGAAAAATGTTTTTTTAATTCCAGCTACATATACCTTTTCTTTATTTTAGTTTTGATCATTTGTCTTCCCTACAGCTTGCTTCTTCCAATCAATCTGCAAGCTGAATCTATCTTTGCTGCTCCCATTTCCATTTTGTAGCAGCTTTTTAGGAATCATTGACTAATGCCTGATAGTTACAGCTCGCAATGCCAGTAATCAAGTGATAATGCCTGTAGCCGGATATCATCAACACAAATCATACCAGTTAGGAGAGAGAAAGTAGAAGTAGTCTGCATACAAGACTGTTTGAACTGAGCATAAGGTTATCATGAGATGCTCAATTTTTTTTCCAGGAAAATGAACATTTTCTTCCCCAAACAATATATTTTATATATAAATATAAAAGGTTTATGTTTCACTTTCATGTCATTAATTTCAGTTATAGAACACAAGAACAGAAGTACATGCAATGCATCTGTTAGGACACTGAAAAATTCTCACTGTATAGCCCTAAATAGTATCCAGAATTAGAATGGCTTTTGCACACTATTGACACTGCCAAATTGCTTGTAATTATAAAACCTGAATGTTGTGATGTGCTACACTTAAGAGTCTTAGTTGAGAGCCCCATTCATCACAGTATAAGTGAAGAGCAATAGTTTTCTTATTAGTAAAATAAGAATATTGACAATCTATTTTGTGAGGGTGGTCGTGAAAATAAAATAAGGATCTCAGAACACATTTAAACATATTGTAGAAATAATCCAGTAATTTTTATGATAGTTTCTGAAGTTGCATGTGTATTTAAAGTTATTGCAAAATTTTTCTTCTTTATTTTTAATTTTTCAGACAATGGACAGCAGAAGAGCATCACAGGAAAAGTTAAGAACCTCTCAGAGGCATCCCAAGCCCTCCTCCAGACGTATTTGGGAAATAAAGCAAAAAAAAGCACTGTTCTTCCCAAAGTTCCCTTGCACATTTCAAACGCCATCCTTGCTGCTGCTCTCTTCCCAGAGTTTCTCAAGGAGCTAGCAGCTCTTGCACAGGAACATTCAATTCTGTCTTACAGATTATTGGGTGATTTTGAGGATTACTACCCATTCTAAAACTTCTAAAAATATTTTTTCACTTTCGTTTTAAACACAGAACTACTTATAAAACCAATTTGAACTTCATATTCCTGGTACTACTTGATTCAGGATAAATGGTTACATTTTTAGGTTGTGCCTCATTTTCATAAGAAATTGATTAGTAATGAAACCAATACTTTATTTACATCTTTGATTTGGATAACTTTCAGATTTTCTTTTTTAAATTTTGCTTTTGACCCTTTGGGTTAAAAAGATACAGTTATATAAAAAAAGTAAAAAATTTTTATCTCTTTTCTTGGAAAAGATTCATTAAGGAAATAATTGCAAGACCAGCATGACAATCCAATAAGACTCTAGATAACTGTTGAAAGGGGAGTCAGCAATCTTCTTTATAAATTCTACTTTACTAGAGATTAGACTTGTGAATCCAAATGGATTCATCCTGAGCCTGTGATTTGCTGAAAGCAGGTGCTGAACACATGCCATATTGCCTTATGTTGTGGACAAGTCTGGTACTCTCAGCTGTTGACTCCTTTGAAATTTAGATTAAATGAGTAAGTGGATGTTGAGTGCAGACTGCAGAGTATTTTCTTACCATTCCTTGGTATTCTTTGAAAATACTATATTGCTGCTAAAATACTCAAGCCTTATTTTAATAAAATTTGCACAGGGCAAAATATTTCTATGCAAGCTGTAACTATTTTTGTGTGTGTGTGGAATGTGTTTGTATACTTTGTTGACAAGCTAAAAAGTAAATGTATTGGCAGTCTTAAAAATTTAATTATTTCTGAAAATTGTGACTGTATATTTTGTAAGTCATTTAAAAAAAAAAAAAGAAAATGGTAGGTCTCCAAACTGTTTTTGTTAAAATTTGATTTGGTTTAAGAAAACTTTTGTGGTACATTCATACATTGGTAAGTAATACTGATGTACACTGATCTGTTGCAAGATTGCACTTTAGAGAAGTGGCTTTCATATATTAGTCTACTAGAATTAGAAAAAAGTGTTTTCTGAGATACATGCGCTGCAACCTGTTACAATTGGTGTTCAATTGCTTAAGAACATTTTCTTTTTTGAGTAATGAAACTCATTAGAAGAGTCCAGACATGATGAATTGGTGTATTATAGCTGCATTCCAGTTTGTGCTAGTAAGAGTAATTGTCCTTCCAGTGCTGAAGCTAACTTTGAACAATGAGTGGCCCAACATTTGAAAGTCTACATTTTCTTTTTCATTGGTGAAAAGGAGAAACTATTTTAGAACAAGTGAAAAAATGGGCATAAAGATCAAGCTTGAAAACAATTCTTGTCACTTCTGTTTTTAAATTATATTCGGAAGAACCAAAAATTGCAGGGAGAATTTGTAATTCCTATGATAAAGAGTTAAAATAAAAATTATTCCATCTGTATACATAGAAGGTAGAGGAGAAAGTGCCTGTGTATTTTTAAATTCATCAAAATATTGCAGGTTATAACCATTTTCTTACAAGTATCTTCTTCTGCCCTAAGTGACATGTTTGTTCATACCATAGTCTTTGTCCTAAGTTCCATGTTAGTTCATACCGTACCTCAGCTCTTCACCCTTCTTTTAGCAAGCAGAACATGGCAGTCTTGGGCATTTTACATTTTTCCATAGACTTGAATTTATTCTCAAAAGCAATTCTTTTATGTATAACTTATTCTAGACTAAGGAAAGAACTTAAGTAATTAATTGGCATTGTACCATCCACTCCAGATTGAAAAAATGTTAAGTGACTGGCTAGTTATTTTCTGACAGGTAAACATTTTATCTTTGCTCCATCTGTCTTCAACCCTAGCCAAATCCTAGGATAATCTAACCACATGTTTTCTTCAATACCCTTCTTCCTGGGGTGTGACCTTGACCATTTTGGTGAGCCTTGTCATAGTTTCATCTAGGATTCCATAAATCATAATTAGTAACTAATTTATATTGTTCATGATCCAGAGTAATGTGTTGAGATGGGCAGCCATACAAATTGAATAAATAAATAAAACTACTTAGACCCCTTTGGGTTTACCAGCCAACCTTTATCTGAATAGAAATCAGCAGTCCATTATTCCATTTTCAGTAACCACCAAAGCTGTCTGATGCACGTTATTCAATGTAAAATCTCGAGCTGCCAGCCAGTTCCTCGATACTCAGCTTTTTCCCAAAATCCTCTATGATATTAACATGTCATCATGTATTAAGTATTTTAAATACTTCTTCCTTTATGTCAACTTTATAGCTGTTCCATCTTCTCCTATTAGAAACTAAACTCTTATTTTCATATCTTACCAACAAGCAAAGGTGAGGTAGGGGAGCAAGCAGCTTAAGTTACTTTCTCTCCTCCCAACACCCGCTCCAAAGTTTGTTCATAGCCAGCACCAAAGCTATGGTAGAATTTCTTTGTATTTACAGCATTCCCAATTTAGTTCAGGACAGAGAAACTGACAGTATGTTTTTGAAGAGAAGTTGACCTAGAATTTAAGACAATCTGCCTGAGAGTGTATCTTGCATGTGTATGCACAAGTCTTTCTGAGGAGCTAGAGTCAAGCATATGCCAGGAATGTGCTTGGGTGGGAGATTAGCAGTTAGATGAAAAGCAAGGTGTGAGAAAAGTGTGTATGCAGGCAGTGCAAAGAATGTAAGACAACAATACAGGAAGTTGAATGTGGGATATGTGTTTGCCTACTGAGAGATGAGGAAGAGACTTAAAGTCTAGCAGTCTGCAGTCAGAGAGTATAATGAAGTCTTGGAATATCAAGGAGGAAGCCTGAGCCCATGTAGCAGGAGAAAACACCACACCCACAACTAAGAACTGGCAGGGTTGTTTAAATCCCCTCCCAATTGAGCAGGCACAGCTGCAATTCCTTTAGCACAGCTGGCTGTGATGATGAGCAGCCAGCCAACATAGTTTTGTTAGAGGCTTGCTGGTTACTTGTGAGTTGTTCACTCTTGTGGAGCACAGGGGTATTGCACTATAGTAAATTCTGGATAGTCTGCTCTGCTATCTGATGCCCACATTGGTTGGGGAGACCTCTGTACTGGAAGAATAAGCACATGGCATCATAGCATCTGGGGAAATGGAGGGCTACTCACTGTATCCTGAGACACAAATCCTCTGCAATGCCCAGCTTTTCCACCTTGTCAATAGGGTTGACAACTCCTGCTCTAACCAATTCTGTAGATTCTCCCCACGCTCCAGTAAATGTATGTACATGCATACATGTGCCGGAAGCCACACTTCAAAAACGGCAGGGTCTGAACAAAAAAGTAAGTTTGAATTAATTGAGTAACTGCTATTAAAATGAATTGCATATAAAATAAGGCGCTCCCACTGATCTCCAATCTGCAAATAGCAACCATTATGCAAAAACACATATACAATCTTTTCCCTCCTACCAGCAGTAGGAGGAAAAAAAGAAAAGTGGAAGTGGAAATAAAGAGACGAGAGAGAAAGGAAGTCTAAATGTGAAGAAAAGAGACAAGCTCCCTTCCTTGTTCCTTAAGGTCTAATAAACCCGAGTGCTGCATTTTTATTCTGAAGCACTAAAAGCAGCTTATACTTGTGAAACCAGTGTATATTAATTGTATCTCCTTTTGAATGGAAGTAAGCTACTACTGTAGTTGCACTGCAATATACCTGCAATAGCAATTTCCCAAGAAAACAAGTTTTTTCCACTGGTGCTTTTCATAAGTCTTAAAAATGGCAGGGTGGAGAGTAAAATTGACTAATGGTTACAAAGAGCACTTAGGACATGATAATTTCACTATGTTACTTCAAGTTCAAACCATAGCTTGTGTGATAGGGCAACCCTGATTTAGCAAGCATTTCCCACGCTGCATTCACTGTGGTTCTGTTGTGACCTTTATGTCAGTTAGTGCTATTGAGTTGTGTGTGGTGCTGCACACTGCAATGGAGAAACCATCTTGATTTGTATGGAGGCTGCTTTGAGGGGGGGTTTTTGGGTGGGGGTGGGGGGTGTTAAGCCTCTGTAAACAAAGAAGAGACAACAGCATTTTATATTTTCCTTTTTATACATGGAGCTACCATCATGAGTTAATGGAAAGACCTTTAACTGTAGAAAACAGTGAAATTACAAAGATTGGAAAGTAAATATTACCGTCACAAAAATGCTGTGAGCAGACAATGTACCCATGTGAATATAAGACCTAAGAAAACTATTCTCTGCTGCATTTCACACATCAAAAGCCCACAAATCTTTCAGACGGCTCTGAAATCGAGTGCTGCAATGTTCTGCTGTAATTACCCAAGCCATGATTATAGCACTAATTCAAGCTGTAGTGTTGTAATTATTCTGATATAAATGCCATCTCAGGGAAAGGGAAAATTGCATCTTGGTTAATGTGGCTTTGGATTGCTTGCATAAGTAAGCTATTTGGGATAATTCAGCGATGCGTACTATACTGAAAAGGCATTTAAGAAGTAAGCAATCCCTGAAATACTTTTTTAGTAGTGTTGCTTTAACAGCATTCCCTAAAATCATTTTACATGAAACATTTTACTGACTAAGTTCCAACCTATTGAGTTGCAGCCCAGGGTAGTTCCAGCAATTCATCCTGGGTCCGGGTCTATCCATTTGAATTGCACACAGAAATTTTCACATTTAGGTTGTGTTTCTTTATGAAGATGAACATGATACACTTCCAGGTAAGTTTTTATTGATGACTGTGGCCAATATACAATAACTATTATACAGTTCATAAAACTACTGCAATTCTTTTGCACAGGGTATTGTGCAAAAACAGTACTATAGAAAAACAAGCTCATGGCTAGGTTCAGAAATTATTTAACATGGTTGCTTAGATTTTGTCTAAGCTAGTCACAAAGTACCTGTTTTCACATTGCATAACATGGAACTCGGGATATTTTAAATATAACATTTTGTTTAAATGGCACCCCTCAGGTATATATAATGATGCTGTTCCTGAAATGATTGCTAGACTGGGTTTAAATGGAAATTGTGCTTTCAAACTACAACCAACCAACCACATTTTCATAAGTTCTGAGGAACTGTTTTGGATGCATCAAAGTCTAAGTCGAGCAGAACTTAAACATGTAAAGTTTTGGGTCATCCACACAGAGGGATCCTGAGTTATCTTATAGGGCAAACTGGGCAGGGCGGGTGTGCATTCCTCTCTTCTGCCTCTCTGCGTGGCTTTTCCTTACTACTGTGGTCTTAGGAGCTTCCAAGGGCCCACCTACCCCGACCTCTCCCTGCCTCCTGTCAGCCACTGCTGCTGCTGCCCACATGGCAGAAGGGAGGAGAGGATAGCCCTTCACTGCTTGCATACATCACCACTAGTATCATAGGCACAAAGCATCATCTAAGGAAGTCCCTCAACCTTGGCTTTTCCCCACTTGTCTCACTTCAGAAAGCAAACAAAAACCCACTTCTGTCTGGAACAATCTTATTTTGGTCTAAATATGTTACAAAGCAGCCCAATTTCATTCTGCGTCCAGATCAAAATGTGCATATTTGGCTTTCAGTATGACTACCAAAATCCAATTGCTTTGTGCATGGAACTTTTTGTATATCCTTTTTGATTATCAACTTGCAAAAAGAGTTCATGTAAATGGGCTTTATGCATATTTGTCCTACTATAGAAAGTTATATTAAAAGAATGAAATTAAATTATGTATCACGAGAAGTCAATTTCCAAGTTTATACCAACTTCATTCCCTACACCTCTCTGTAACGTCTGTCCTGGAAACTGTCCATACTTTAACAGTACCCATACACCAATTACTGTATTGCTTTGTACCCTTCAAACTGTTCACTTATCTTTTTTTAGGATCTTGACAAGGTCCTAAATTAACCCAATAGCTTTATTCCTTTAAAAAAAATACATTAAAGGTACTATTTTAACAAAGCAAAATTACTTTGAAGCGCTTAAGAAAAATAAAGGTGTGGAAAACATCTAATTTAAGCTGTGTTTAGATAAATACGTTGTAATATAACACTATATTACTTGTACAACAGGATCATACAATCTAAAATATGACTTTCTTCAAATTGTGCTTAACATATTTGTTTTAAAATAGTACCAGAATGTAGAACTAAATGATTAAAAAAAAATCATTTTTCCAGTGCAAGATTGGATTAGTTCCACAAAGATTGGCAACGAGATAAGAGAAGACCCTTTTCCCCCCTCTGTACATATAAGATTAGTCAGCTGAGGCAGTATGCATGCAACTTAAGCTTCTACTGTAAATTCCTCTGCATGCATGCTTAGAAAAAGTTATTTAGCAAACTCTGCAGATTGTATAATTGCAAATCACTCTCGCCTGTGAGCCTTCTATCTGTATACTTGGTTGTAACCATTAAGATAAAGAGGACAGCATGAACTCCCAAATCCAACAACTAAGGTGAGGGGGAGTAATAGTACACCAGACACACTGCTTCCCATAAGAGTATTAGCAAAGGGTCACTTACCTATCTGGGCAGCCACCACCCAGATAAGCAAAGATTAACACCAGACAATCAAGCAGAAAACACCTTAATTAAGGAACTACCAAGGACAAAACCACACCACCAAAACTGGCGGAGAAAGCTATTGTATATAAACAGGGAGCAAACCCCACACTCACTTGCTCTGATGATGCTACCTAGTTGGGTAATGAAACATCTGCAAGCAAACAACCAAGCCCAGAGAGCACCAAGGACTCCACAGTTCAACTTTTTGTGTATCCTTTTTGATTATCAACTTGCAAAAAGAGTTCATGTAAATGGGCTTTATGCATATTTGTCCTACTCCACCCTGTGCTACATATATTCTCTTCTATTGGAACAGTAGCACCTGGAAATGGGTTGGTAACACATCAGTGACTTAGTCATAACTTGTGATACCTGATGCTTTGCCAGAGATAATTTTGAGTAAAACAGGATCCCTAGCAGACAAAATCTGGTGGTCTGATGACATCTCTGATCTGGGTGGTGGCTGCTGGAGAGGATGTGGTCTGGTCGTCTTGTTTCCCTCTTACCTTTTTTATTCTCTCTTGAATGGTGTGTAAATGTGGTATATCTCTATATGTCTATTGATGGCTGATTTGTCTGAATGCCAAGCTTCCAGGAATTCCCTAGTGTTTTTAGATTTGGCTTGGTTTAAAATGCTATTTTCCACTCGAAACTCTGCTTGAGTCTGTCCATGTGTTGTGAGATTAAGAAGTTTTCATTGTGTCTTTTGACTGCTAGTTGATGTTCATGGATGTGCTCTGCTAATCTGTCTTTCTGTCCTACATAGTGGCTGTTAGAGTCCTTACACTATGTTGTAGATGATTCCTGTTTTTCTTCTTGGGCTACTAGGTCTTTTGGTTTACTTAAGATGTTTTGGAGGACTTTAGTTGGTTTGTGTGCTATGGTGATGCTGTGTGGTTGTAATAGCCTGTTGTTTCTAAAATGTTTTTGATGCATGGTAGTGTTATTCTTTTCATAGCTTGTGTTGGTTGTGCTGTGGTGGGTTCTGTGGTCAGGCACTTTTTGATAAAGTTGTGTGGGTATCCATTTTGTTGGGAGGTATTGTATAGGCAGTCTGTTTCCTTTTTGTGCTACTGTTTCTACTTCCATCTCTTAAGTATAAAAAGGTGGCGAAAGCCTACAAACAGTTTTAACATCAATGGAGAGTTAAATCCTAGGGAAAAAAGTTCCGTGCAACTGCCAGCTCCAGGTTGTCTTCTACCACTTTTGAGATTTCTGATAAGCTGATGGTATATACAAATTGATATACCTTTCTTTATTGCACTCTTATTATTCAATTTTATTTATTTATTTATTTATTTATTGGCCATTTCATCTGGTCTGAGCCTATTGTCTTAAGGGTCCTAAAGATTTGTTCTCCTGGCTGACCACCAGGTGGCAACACACAGATTCAGAAGACCAGTCCTTATCAAAAGGAAATGAAGACTTTCCGTTGAAATATACTTAGTTTATTTTTGTACTCTGTGACAGTGGCTTCACATGTTGCCTTAAATCATAATATGACTTTTTTGATTTTGGTGTGGCGTGATATTGAAGTCAGCCAATTATGGCTTGGGATTATGCATGAATCAGGCAACTATGATTTGTTCTACAAAACTAAACATCTGGTTTAATACAGTGTGGGAACCCAACCAGTGTTTAGAAATGTGCCACAAGATTTAATACAGGATACCAGAATTCAGTTTTCTCATTTCTTACATTAGTTGTAAAAAAATGAACTAACAATGACAGGAGCCAGAAGATCCATTGTGTGAGTTAAAAATCGGATCTGCTTGCCTCATCTGCCAATTCTGTTGAATTCTTTGAGCAAGATTGGGCTTGTAAAATCTAAAATGGATAAGAAAAATCTTTTCACATAATATTCTTTAGGAAAAGGAATATTCACTATTAAAGAAAATACTTGTTACGCAATTTTAGCTTTGTACTAAATAAGACCGGCTTACGATGAAGAATGGAAACTAACAGTGGATTAATAGGGGAGGAAAATACAGAGCAGATGTCACAGCTATTGTTGTTTTCAACATTGTTAAATTGTTAAAATCAGCAATATTAAAACTGAATTTTCACTGGCACTAAAATTCTTCACTTTATTGCCATGATAATAACTGCCCCACAACTATCTTCCAATTAAAGGAGGTAAATATTTAAGCCATTAGAATAACCAACTAGATATTTAAAATTATCTTTAAAAAAAAAAGGATAACATGAAATAGTATTTGTAATGGAAGGATATAAACAAGGTTAATATTTCATGTAGCACAATGGAAATTTGGATGATGCAATGCCTGTGAACCCGGGAAATACTTGAATCCTTCCATTTGCCATGGCCATAAAAATAAAAATAAGCAAAATCATGCCGTTAGGTTAGACAATGACAAGCTCAGTGATCAACCTGGACAGCTTTAAAAGTAGAATGAAAAAAATGGATAAGTATCAATGGCTACTAGTTA